GCAAAGATCATATCTACTCTTGTGAATGAGCAGCCCCTCTGTCCTCAGCTCTATGTTTACAGTACTGCAGACACGGTCATTCCATTTCAGTCTGTTGAATTTTTTATCGACGAGCAAAGAAAGAATGGGAGGGACGTGTTGTCATTCAACTTCGGTACATCTCCTCATGTAGACCATTACCGAAATTTCCCTTCCGCCTATGCATCCCTTCTGCAGAATTTTGTCGAAAAATGTTTGGTCATGGTTAAGGAAACATATTGATCCTCCATCAACTATACTTAACATTGTCAATTTGCCATTGTTGTGTTGTAAACTGAATTAACTATCGGAATATGTACCGAAAATGTCATTTAGCCTTGTGACTGATTATTAATGTGTGTATCAAAAGGAAAATCAGATCGCGACACTAACACTATGTTTGGTTCAAGGAATTTGAAAGGGAAAAGAAAAGAAAATGAAGTAGAAAATCATTTTTCTTGTTTGGTTAGAAGGGAAAAGAAAATGAGGAGGCAAAATGTACCAAGTGTAGGGAAAACCAAATTCCTCCCATTTTGGTGAGGAAAATGAGAGAAAACCATTGACTTTTCTTTTCCTTCCAAAATCCTTGAGCCAAACATAGTGTAAGTATGAGCGATTGGACAAAACAAAACTACGAAGTATAAAATCGGTCAAAATATAATCTATTGCCTTTATTGTTAAAAAAAACGGAGTAATATAATTGTTGTTGGAGTATGCCTGAGTAGTGTTTTGTCTGATGTTACAAAGCATGCATGTCCCTTTAGTGTACTTGATTTTTAATTATTTTTATCACTATTAAATTTTACAGAAGTAAAATATTACAGTATTTTGGCACATACATGTTTTATTTGAATTTTTTCGCGGGTCTAGAATTAATTTGTAAGTTTTATGTTTTCTCGAATCCTGATACGAATGAAAATATTTTCATAGGCTCTTGATAAAAAAACATTTTATCAAAAATAATATTTCACGTACATTTAGAAATATATTTAATACTCCCCCCGTCGCTAAATAGGTTGCTATCTTTTTTTCTCTGTCCTCTCGATAACTTTTGATTGTTTACGCGATTTCATCAAGTATTTGATAAAATAAAATATTCTTGTTACCAATTGTTTTGTAGAACTTTTGACGTAGTTTTTTAATACGGAGTATGTAATTTTTATAGCTTATTGATATACCAATTTGTAAATAAAATGATTTCAAAAAGTAAGAAATTTTACTCCGTAACCCACAATTTGTAATCAAATGGGAGAGGGAGGGAGTATCAAATTTGGATTCAATGAATTTTCAAAAATTTTATTCTACAGTATAACATGAGTATTTTCGCAAACCACTGTTGTTTGCGAGGTGCCACTATAATAGTTTACTTAAAAAATTCATAGCATGTAAAATTGTTTTAAAAATCAAATTTGGAACCAATAAATTTTAAAACTCGTGAACTAGTTTTAAATTTATGACAAAAATATCTTTGGTATATTATACAATAGACCATTTATATAGACTCACGTTCTCTCGAGCATGTTCCGGCAACTTTTATATTGTTCTCGGTGTTAAAGCTTTAGAGAATCAAGAGAGAGATGAAGAGGAACAAATGTTTATTATTGGAAATTGAAAATTCTGCCCTAGTACAAACAAAAAGACTACTATATATATGCAGCCCAAAGGAAAAACCAACTCTGCAAAAGATAAGGAAAGCAACAGGAATTTGTTGCACTCTTCAAGCTGGGTGGAGGTGAAATCATACCCAGCTTGGCCAGAAGCTTCTGAAATTGTTCGGCAGGCAAGATTTTGGTAAGAACATCTACCAATTAATTAGCGGTAGGCAAGTAAGAAAGCTCAATGAGGGCCTTCAAGGACCTTCTCCCTAGTGAAATGGCAATCCATTTCAATGTGCTTTGTTTGCTCATGAAAAACTGGATTACGTGCAATGTGTAAAGCAGATTGATTGTCACAGTGCAAAGTAATGGAGACTTGGAAACAGTGTGTTATTTCTTAGATTTCCAAGAAATGGGTGAACCACCAAGAAGATCAATATTGCATGTTACAGATCGTCTAGAAAGAGGACAAGAGGCCCAATGAAAAAGCATGAAGAGAGTTTGTCCAAACCTTTCAAAAGTATGACGTGATCAATAGTACCAAAGAAGGTAATGAAAGAGATGTTGGGCAGCCTTCATATGAGAGTCATCAGGAGTCTGCATAAATTGGCTTAGAATTTGTACCGAATATGAAATGTCAGGGCGAGTATGTGTGCAGAAAATTTAATTTCCCTGTCAACTACCATGTTGAAATTTGGTGTTTTGAGGGAGAGGGGTGTTCACTGCTTTAGTATGTTGACAATGATATTCAGCAAGCAAATCTTGGGGGAATTTGCGTTGAGAAAGGATGATGCCATTGCGAGCAGAAGTATAAGTGAGTTCAAACCCATTAACCCAAGACAATAATGAGCAATACCCAAGTCCTTAATGGTATATGTAGTATCTAGGTACTGTTTGAGTGAAGAAATAGCTGCGCTGAACCAGTAACCAAGATGCCATCCACATAAACAACAAAAATAGTAATATGAAGAGTATGTTTAAAGTGTCATTTTGAGAATACATTGTCTCTATACAACTGCTTGAGTTGAAAAACACCCTCGAAACCATTCTTCACCAGCTTATAGAAATTTCTAGGCCCCACGCCGAGAAGAATTGTCAGCAAATCAGGAGCTCCGGCCAATCCTCTCTTCGAGGCATCCATCTGTCTCCTCTCCAACCTTGCCGCCGGCCATTCCTCCAAACAATGGCCGCTCTGCTCGCCTACCTCGGCCCCATTTTCCACCCCTTTCGACGACCCCTCGGCAACAGTTCCCACCCACACTTTGTGGGTCCCCTCCTGCCTCAAAGCAACCCATGACCTTGACGCCCGGCTAGTACGCTCAAGAGACAAATTACCCAAACTACACAGACCAACTCCGGCGGAGGAGAGTACGGCGGGGTTCACACGACAAAGGTGATGCAAATAACGGAGTGTGGAGGCGGCCGGCGATGGAAAAGTGGCCATGGGGTTAAGGGCTTGTTTTGGACTCTTGGAAATCGATAGAGAAAGGGAATCATGGGAGAGATAGGGGAAAGAAAAGATTTAAGCGATGGTCATGAATGTTTACGTTTTGACTTTTGGTCATTTTTAAGGGAAGTTGACTAACCTTGTGAAAGGACCAAATTGCCCTTAATGAAGGAAAAAGAAGGGAATGAAAATGAATGGTGCGCAGGTCATGAATAGGAAAAAAAGAAGACTATTGGTTGTAGTGGGGAGAAAACACTATTTAAACAATGTTTTACATCCAATCAAACATTACATAACAATGATTAAAACCATTCAAATACATTCACATTACAAACAAAATTGGAGGTCCCTCCATTTTTTCCCTTCCCGCCCAAAAAACCCCCAACAATTCAGTCATCCCTCCACTGCCTGGTTATATAAAAGCATTCACTTTCCCCTTTTGGCTCTTTCATTCTTCTCTCATCTTCTTCTTCTTCTCCTCCTGCCTATGACAGCCTCTTTTCTTCTTTTTTTGTTCTTTTTTTCAGTTTTTGGATCCCTGCAAAATTCATCAAAAATCCATAGATGAATTCCAAAAAACTTGACAAAACTACAAGGCAGCTTATTAGTGAAGGTTTGCTTCGAAATTCAATACAGAATATTGATGGTTCCTATTCAGCTCGGAGGGGGCAGATCAACATGCTTGCTGCACAGTTTAATGTCTCGAGACAGACGATTAGCAAGATATGGGTCATCGTAAAAAAACAATTAGAGTTGAGGGTTGCCATTGATGTGAGAAGCAAAATGGCAGGTCATTGTGGGAGGAAAAGGGCAGAAATGGATGTAAATGCCATTGCAGATACCCCCTCCGGAAGCGGGGTACTATCAGAACATTAGCAGCAGCAATTGGCAAGCCAAAGTCCACTGTCCATCAGTGGATAAAAAGAGGTATGCTTAGGAGTCACACGAATGCTATCAAACCATACCTTACCGCTGCTAATAAACAAGCTAGGTTGAAATTCTGTTTAGACCAAATAGAACCTTTGAGTATGCCTCACCAACCTATATTCATGTCTTTTCATAATGTATTGCACATTGATGAGAAGTGGTTCTTTATGACCAAAACATCTCAGAGGTTTTACCTTCTTCCTGAAGAAGTTGACCCCTATAGGACATGCAAATCAAAAAGGTTCATTACAAAAGTCATGTTCTTGTGTGTGGTTGGTAGACCACTTATTGATGATAATGGAGTTGTTCTTTGGGATGGAAAAATTGGCATTTTTCATTTTACTGAAACTNGTCTTTTCATAATGTATTGCACATTGATGAGAAGTGGTTCTTTATGACCAAAACATCTCAGAGGTTTTACCTTCTTCCTGAAGAAGTTGACCCCTATAGGACATGCAAATCAAAAAGGTTCATTACAAAAGTCATGTTCTTGTGTGTGGTTGGTAGACCACTTATTGATGATAATGGAGTTGTTCTTTGGGATGGAAAAATTGGCATTTTTCATTTTACTGAAACTATTGAAGCCAAAAGAATGAGCAAGAACAAGGCTAAAGGGGTCTTGGAAGTCAAACCAATCAAGGCAGTTACCAAACAAGTCACAAAAGACATGCTAATAAATAAAGTCATTCCAGCTATCCAAGAGAAGTGGCCTAGAAATTTATCAAAGAACATTCATATTCAACAGGATAATGCTAGGCCACACATTCAAGGTTTAGACTCAGAATTTGTAGCTGCAGGAAACACTAATCGTTTCCACATTACCTTAGGTAACCAACCCCCCAACTCCCTAGATTTAAATGTACTTGATCTTGGGTTTTTCAGAGCCATCCAGTCCTTAAAAGAACAGTGTGCTCCAAACACAGTTGAGGAATTGTTAGAGGCAGTTCAAGGGGCTTATGATGCTCTAAAACCAGAAACTTTAAATAAAGTTTGGTTAAGTTATCAGCAGGTCATGGCTACAATCATGGAAAAAGAAGGAGGAAACAATTATAAACTGCAGCATATGGGCAAAGGCAGACTAGAAAGGGCTGGGACACTGCCTAAGTCCCTTCACATTGACCCAGAGGTAGTTGTCAACACAGCAAGACTACTTGGAGAAGGAAATGGGAGTACACCTGAAGATATAATTCAGTTCAACCCTGAAGAGGAAGATGAATACCTCTCTTCAGACCTGAACTAATGTAATGGGAACAACAAAAAGGTTTTTTGGGCAGGGGAAGGGCTTTTGGTTTTTGGGATGTAGGCAGGGAGTATAATTTCAAGTGCTTAAAATATTTTTGTTTTTTGCAAGTGCTTGAACCTTTGTATATATGTACTCAAAACAAGGCAACTACACAACCTGCTCTATATGTATTTACAACATCCAGCATACCTTTCCTTTGTTTACTTTATACCACATCATCATTGCTGAACTTAAGGAAACTTAGAACACATATAAGGTACTCAGAAACACCCACACATGGCTAAGTGTTCATCATAGTACATTTTCCTATTCCTAGGATATTTATTCACAGTAATTAATGTCTTCATATCTTCAGGAAATACTAACAGATTATAAGTTCTCAGAATCAGCCCATAATCCTTCATCACAGTACTAAAATCCAGTATTCACAGAAAATAAGAACACAGAATAAGCACTCAGAAACATCCACAGTTCATCAATTGCTCATCACAGCACCTAATCCTTTTTCAGACCAGGTAGAATAAATCCAGTCATCATAGATTGGGAAAACATCACATTATGATACAATCACAGCATCAAATATTGCGCAGGCACAATAACTCATCACATAACGAAAGGAATGCAGACAAAGGATGTAAAAGTACTTCCCTACTTGTACTGCGAAGCCCAAAAATTAGGGTCTGGACTGGAAGTAAGATGTTCAACATATCAATGTGGAGGTGCATGCATGAGTAGATCTGGGAAGAATTCTCAGTTGGAGTGATATCAGATCCCTCTGTGCCATCAGTATCAGTTTCAAGAAGTATGACCTCAACCGCCTCGCTCTCCAGATGAATAACAGAGTCGCTTTCAGAGGTAAGGTCGATTACCTCTTTCGCTTTGACCGGGGCAACATCGGCAACGTTCTCGTTATTCTCGAGAACGACTACCTCGTCCTCCTCCGTGTCGTCAGAGCTGTAGACGTAGGTGCCATCTACACATTGGGTTTCTGGAATGCATGATTCATATAGATAATCATGGAATTCCATTGAAGAGATAGATGAACTGAGAATATGTATACAGATCTAGATCTAGATCGGTGATGAGTGAGGAGAAGAAGAGGCGAAGAAGTACTTGGAGGAGAGGAAGAGTCAGATATCGGTGGAGTAAATGAGGAGGAGGAAGGGGCGGATAAGAGAGTGTGAGTGGATAGGAGAAAATTAGAAAAAGGTGAAGGGTATTTTTGGAAGAGTGTGGGTTAAAATTAGAAATGTGAACTTTATTTTCGGACGGAGAAAAAGGAGAAACGTAAACTTTATTTCTGGACAGAGGGAGTATTAATAATTTAGTCCCCAATTATTATATTATTTTTCAGGAGTACAAGAGAGGGAAAAAAGCTTAATTGGGGACTAATTTATTAATATTTGATACGTAGAGTCTAAATATGGAAAACGGCCTATAACTGGAGACCTTTTATAGAAGTTACTCATAAACCAAAATAGAACATTCCCTTTTACGTAGTATTCCTTTTTTTGAGCACTTTTATTCCTTTTATTAATTGATTTGGATTATATGATAGAGCCGGTTGTACAAGAAGTAAGGTACAACCTGATAGTACTCATTTTGGAGTAAATTAATATTTCACGTTCTAAAATTAACTTCTCTGTTTGACTTTTTATTAAAGTTTTCAAACTTGACCGCATATTTCAGAAAAAATATTGAATATTTATATAAATAGAAATATTGATGATCAATGTGTTGCATTGAAGATCGTGAAAATTCAAATGAGAAGTTAATTTTAGGTTGAAAGGAATACTCATTTTTGCACAAAAAAAAACTTTCATTTGGGTGTAAAAGTGTGTCTATTTTAAAATAATGTCATATTCATTTTGAATCAATATAGTGTTTATTCTAAAGCAACGTAATATTTATTTTCATACATTTGTTCAATTACAATTATAATACGGAGTATTCAGTTACGAATAACGTAGTGTTCATTCTGAAACAATATAGTTTTCATTCTCAAATACAATAATTTTCATTCTCAAGCAAGTTAATACCCAGGTGAAGCCTCTCAGCGTTCTTTCTTCTCCTGCCCTGGCCCAGGCCTCAAAGTAACGCCGGCTAAAGCTAGGGTTTTCTAGGAAGTCTTCATGGCTGATAAAATGTTGTGGTCTTGATGCTTTATCGTTCCTTCGATCCCATTCCTAGTCACGGGTGCTCAATCGCTCCATCTGATCACACCATTGTTCTTCGATTCTATTCCTGGTTGCCATCACCGATGCTCCATCCCTCATTTGGATTTTGCCCAAATTAGACATCGATTATACACGAAGAACGTACAACCGGTTGTACGGTATAAATAGTGGATTTTGGACGTTAATAAATCAATTTTGCGTTTACCAAGATGAATTAACTTTGCAGTTATTTGACTATCACTCGTTGAGGAATGTTAGGTTCAGAAACAAAATGGTCATAAAATTCAAAACTTACTATTTATGGTTAAAAATCTCATTTTAAAATTATTTTAGACTACTTCATTTTTTATTAACCTTCACAAATAGTAAATTTTGAGATTTGTGATCATTTTGTTTGCAAACCAAACATTTCTAATCACTCCTTTCACAAATGTAATAGTGAGTACATTATGTCCCAAAAAGAAAATAATGCAACATTTACAATACTTAATTTAAATGATTTTTAATTCGCTTGATTTCAAAATTAATTTTAAAATAAAGTTTTGATGTTGCAATAATATTATATTCAAAAATTTTAGTGCATAAATGAAATTATTTTCAATTCAATTTATTTTATAATTATTCCTAAAATATAATACTCCGTAACAGTTTGATATTTAAGAAAAAATTTGAAAACTAAAAAATGTGTATTTAAAATTTGTTTAAAAGAAATACTCTCTCCATCTCCAATTAAATATATCCCGTAAATTCCTATTCTCTCCATCTCAAAATGAAGATTTCATTGGTGTTTGTGATATTTTTCCTAAGTTATTTAAATTTTTACTTATTTAAAAATCAGTATGGAACTGAAAAAATTAAAATCATATTTTTTTTGAAAACTATTATGAACATTTTACAAAATAAGAGGTGACACATTTACATTATTTTATCAAATTAGTAAAAAATAAAGAAAAAACTAGATAATTACATCAATGCATACTACTAATGACCAAGTGTTTCACATCCTGGTCAACCCAACAAATTATGAGCATATATTTTATGAATATTTAAATTTTCGAAAGTGATTATAATTTTCATTAAAAAAATACCGTATGTCAAAACATTATTGAGTTAACTCAAACTTTACAATACTAGGTCAAGAACAAGTATTTCCCAAACTGAATCCAAAATTAACCAAACTCGAATCTGAAAATACCGAAATTGAATCCAACCTGTCTCCTTTATTTAGTGAGATTGAATCTTTTGGCGCACCCAAAAATGATAACCTGGTGAGAATGGGCCACTATATCAAATACGACCATTTTTTAGATAAATCTAGCCCGGTCACTGTGTGGCAATGCAATTTTCATGTAACACGGAGTAAAAAATATACTCTATTCGTCCCCAATTTGATTACAAATTGTGGGTTAGGAAGGAAAATTTTCCACTTTTTGAATTCATTTTTTTACAAATTAGTATATCAATAAGATATAAAAATTACTCCAATTATGTCAAAAGTTCTACAAAATAAGAGGTGACAAGAATATTCTATTTTATCAAATACTTAATCAAATCGCGTAAATAAACAAAAGTTATCGAGATGAGAGAAAAAAATTGTAATCAAAATACGGACGAAGCAAGTAAAAAATTTTCGAGATTGACTCACAAAATTTGAACGGGACGAGTAATCTGGGACCGGGTAGTAGAAAATAAGAATTTTTTTTTAGAAAAAAGACCCAAAATTGGGTTCCATATGAAGCTAGAACACTTCTCCACGTTGGGTAAGAGATAGTTAAAGCAGAGCATATAATATCAATTGCTACAAGATATAAGATGTGTCTCATGTTTTATCAAGAGGATGTAAATATACCAATAGAAGATTGGCACATAACTTGCCCTCACTTTGAAGAACCCAACTACGGAAATTCTTCCGATACGTAAAGTTCCAGAAATGGATATAACGCAGATTTCATTTGCCGAATTCCCAGATCACTCCTCCATCCTCTGCAAACATTCAATCAGCAATTAGCTCAAAGCAGGTTGGTTTGGTGGTAACACTGTGTGTTTTATGTTTTCACCTCTCAGAAAGAAAACAAATTGTTTTTTTTTCAATTCCTAAAAATATATAAACATGTGTCAGTAAGCCTGGTTTGCACATGGTGATTTACGCTCACATAAAAATACACGAACCATGCCCAAATCAAATATATGTTTCCAAAAAAACAATGAAAATAGAAATTCCCGCAGCAAATAATTTTAAATTTTGTGTTTTTGTTTTCAGAAACTAAAAGAACTTACGCACATAAGAGAGAGGTGTTTTGTTTCTATTGTCAGAAAAGTGAATAAATATTGTACTTTTCAAAAGTCACACCTTAGGTTTTGATATATTATGATTTATTAAGGATTGGTTATGAATGTGCAGTGACAGATATGGATACTGCAATTTGTTTTCAAATATGGGGTATGAGAAAGTGTGTTCTATATGCTTCAATAATATTTAGAGAGAGAGAGAGAGATACTTCATATCATATACTATATGATTGAAATAAGCTAAAGATTTGAAGATTATGATTCCCCCATATAAAAATGTCTAAAGCTCCATTCGGTAGCCATTTCTGGCGAAATGGATGTTACCAAAAGCTTTTCTTCCCCGAAATTCAATAGAGGGAATCACTTCAGCAGAATAACTCTTACCAAACGGGCACTATATCCTACAGCTAACCAAACACACCCTAAATCCTTCAATTAAAGAAGCCAAACCCATTGGCTTATGCTTAACTAAAAAGAAATTAGAGCAGAAAGTAGCATACACACACATACCTTTGACCTTCTTGTTGATCCACACTTCTAGGAGCATCCCAGCACCG